TAATTTTCCTGTTGTGCTTTTTTATTATTTGTGCCATATTCTCGGTGCAACTGTAGCTGATTTTGATTCTTTTTATTGAATATTTTGTGTAGTGTACTTGATTCCGAGAAGTGTTTGTGTAATAGTTTCAAGAATATTTTTCCTACGTTTGTTTTTACATTTTTGCTGTACGGTGGGTTCAACTCTCTCTCACTCTCTTTCCTTCTCACTCTCTTTCCTTCTCACTCTCTTTCCTTCTCACTCTCTTTCCTTCTCACTCTCTTTCCTTCTCACTCTCTTTCCTTCTCACTCTCTTTCCTTCTCACTCTCTTTCCTTCTCACTCTCTTTCCTTCTCACTCTCTTTCCTTCTCACTCTCTTCCTTCTCCTCTTCCCCTCTTCCTTCTTTCTCTTTCCTCCTCACCTCTTTCCTTCTCCCTCTTCCCTTTTCCTCCCCTCACCTTTCCTTCCTCCTCCCCTCTCACTCTCTTTCCTTTCCTCCCTCTCACTCTTTTTCGTCCCCCCTCTCTCTCACTTTTGTCCCCCCCTTCTCTTTATATATATATATATATATAAACCTTACTTTCTTATGCACACACTTGAACACGGCAGTTTGTGCGTGTTTTATGTCAGTTTCTTCTTTTAACACTGCGTCTACGTACACCATGTCTGTTTTTTTTTTTTTTTTGGTTTTTGTTTTTTAAGCATTGCATCGTTACACGTCAAATGCATGCAAATAAATATTAAGACCTTTGCTAGTATTGAATACGAAGCCTAATCTTTTTCTATATCTGTTCATTTCTTGAATTCCATTCAAGAATAACTCAATGGTAGGTATGCGCATTTTTGCGTTTGTCGTGCATATGAAAGAAGTGTTTGCTTATCCCCACCCCGCTCTCACTATGAACTCTGAATATTTGTCCACCCCCCCCCACACACACACACACCAGACCAACTCCCTAAGCAATGAGCTTCACCTTCTTCGGGGTTTTAGCTACCAACTTCACTACTTACCCCAATCTGATCCCCCTTTTGTCTTTCTTCCTTCCAAGTTGATATTTACTTCTGAGTCGATGACAAAATTCCTTTCCCCCGATTTGACTGTCTCTTCAATCATTCTTCATTCTTTGACTTTGCTGTTGAGCTCTTGTAAAAGAAAGCGTCGATAGTTGGAGGATGAGAGAAAAATCAACAGAAACAACGAACTCTGTTATTCCCTGATATGTATTCAAAGCTGTCTTAATAATTGTGATTAAGAACTGTTCTCAATATCCAAGAGTACGGGGACGATTATCCGCATAATAAACTCTACACAATCCAGGCGATGCTAGGAGTAAATAATACATCTTCCAGGAAGTATCGATAAAAGGAGGTCGTAACGGCCCGCTTGCACATCGGCCATACGAGAATGACACCTTGCCTACTAAGTTCAGCCGATGTGCCAAGCAACTAAAACTACTATCCATTAAACATATCTTAACAGAGTGTCCAGAACTAAATATCTCAAAGACAGTAATGTTATAATACTGATAGCATATATAATATATATATATATATATATATATATATGTGAAGCCAGACTATTGATAAAGAACTCTATTCGCAGAAATAAAACTAGGAAACCGTATATTTACAGAATAAATATTGCGCGAAATTCTTTATTAAAGAAAAGAATAATACCAAGAATGTAATTGTCTCTCGACAGAAGCCCTCTTTGCAAAAAGTGTTAATGAAACTTTTGTTACGAAGGATACTTTTTTATTCATGTTATATATATATATATATATATATAAACAAAGAGTTAATCATACCTTGAATCAATTAGCAATATTAATGCAATTATTGGCGAAATCCCTTCGCTAGTAGACATAATTATAAGCATTATACTACAAATTGATTCAAGGTATGATTAACTCTTTTGTAATATAAAATATATGCTGCCTATTTTATTATGTATATATATATATATATATATATATATATATATATATATATATATATAATGTTGGCATTAAGCCCTTTGAGGTTGATATACTATAAAACAAAACCAAACCAATCAATATGCAATAAAGAGTGGTTCTTAATAAAATTGGTTGAGGAAAAGGCACGGAATTAATAAACGAGGTGTTCTTAATAAGGGTTTGAAAATTCTCAAAAGAAAAGTACACCCTACGTGTATCAGGCACCAAAAAGTAAAATATCAAAATTTTGTTGATCTTTTTTTTTTAATCATTTCACTCCAAGCAAGGCGATAATGTCACTAAGATACAAGATGTTACTGGGGTAAAAAAGAATGTGAAGACTTTAGAAGTAACTGGAAACCCAATCCTAAGTAGGAAACAAAGGAAAAACTTTTGCTCTTGTTCAAAAGACGAGGAAGATGTGCGAACCGAGCGATAAATGAGCCTATCTACTCTTATTAAAGTAAAAACGATACGAGAAAAAGATTATGCTGCGTCAACCTCACAAGTATGTGAATAAGACGGTTGCGCGGTATACTCGATGCCGAAATGAATAACTCAATGTCGATGCATTTGCAATAAAGTCCTCTCTGGCAGTGGTGTGTCTAGGGCAAGATAGTATGACGGAGCCCATCCCTCTTTAGGCTGGTTTGGATTTATTACCCCTACAAAGGTTAAAGAGTCCAATCTGTCCCTTGTTATTTAATTCAAAATTTCGCGGGATGTGATCGAAGTAGAATCGAACAGATTTTGAATTCGGTTCGATGATTTCAATTTACGAGCTGATAAGCACTACATTATCCACACCTCCCTATATGTCACAGCATCATAAAATGTATCATAAAATTGTCCAGTATTTTTCAAACCTCATAACTTGAACATTTTGAAACCAGCCTGTTCACTTTTAATTGACAATTTCACGGTCATGTCTTTGTCGAGTTGACAACAAAATTAACTAAAACAACAATGTATCAAGTGAAATTTAAAGAACACACGATGCCACATAGCGCCTAGGAT